AAAATATCGAATATCTGCAAGAAATTTTCAAAAATATTTCTTTCAGTACGATTAAAAAAACCATTTCGTTTTGATGTAGAAAACCTAAAATTTCCTGATATTGTCGTTTGTAGTCTTTGTCAAAAATTGTTCGCTTTTCATTTCGAGGAAAGTCTTCTTCCATTCGAAATAAAAAGAATTTATATTTCCTTTTTTTCATTTATAAGTCCATCATATGTTATTTTATTTAAGATAATTTTTAGCAAAAATAAATTATTTACAATTATATACTTTTTCAAATACATATATAAATGTATGACGATGTATTATTTATAAATTTTTTTTCTGATAGTAAAGCAAGCAATTTGATTTTTGATGAGATAAAAAACTGCAACCCTCTTAAGTTTTTGTTTTGCATTTTTTATATATATTATTATTTTTTTAATATTAAATATTGTCCTGTTCTGATTATAGTTGTTGTTTTTTGAAAAGTTATATATGGGCAAGATTTGAAAAAAAAATATTTTTTTCATTTTCCTGTTTTATAAAAATTGAAAAAATGATACAGTGACAATCCTTCTAAGGGGTATGGCATTTCATAATGAATATAACCTGCTAAGAATATTTTTTTAGGTTTTAAATTTGAAGAATAAAATCGAATCTCCTGCCAAGTTAATGCTGCTTGCTCCTTGGATTCCATTATTTGCAGAGAGTGTTTTATTTTCAAATCTTGTTATGTTTCCGACCCTTGCTATTTGAAATTGATGTTGATCCTGCTGTTGCGATTTGGTTTGATGCCTTCTGGGTCCATTGCTTCTTCCTCTCTCTGTTAAGGGTTTCGGTCTCTTCATTGCATTTCCTGTAAATCCTATAGCCTTTTTTCTTCGTTTTTCATTTCAAAACAAACTCATTTTGTTTTTTTCTTTTTTTATGTTTTTATTTTTGAAATATATTATTTTTATATATATTTTTGTTTTGTTTTTCGTTTTTCTTTCATTTGTAATTATTGGCTAACTTTCTGTTGTAGTTTTAGTTGGTTTTTATTTTTGTTTTTTTTTTTTCATTTCTTCTTCATCAGATTTTTAAGATTAATAATAAATTTATATTAATTATATTAATTATTTTCATGATTTATTCATTCAAGTGTTTTTGTTTTTTTTTTTTTTATAAATCATTAGTATACATACAAATTATTTTTTCTTTTAAATTATTACATTTAAAAATGTAGTTGTTTTTTTGTCCATAAATTACTCATATTTATATATATCGTATAACCATTTAGATGTTTTTGTTTTTAATATTTTTATTTTTTCAAAAAATATTTAAGGGAGGGATGATGGATGGGATGAAAGGGAGAGAGAGTAAGTATGGGTACAAAATTGTGAGTTTATTTTTATTTTAGGCTTTTTTTAATACGTTTACGAATTTTCCTTCATTTGGATATTAGGGTGGATCTATTTTTAGTTTTTTTATAATTTCAAAAAATTTTGGAAATTTATTTAAGATTTCTTTTAGAAATTTATAATACATTCAGGGATTTCTCTTAATGCGAATATTAGGATGGATCGCTTTGTTGTTTTGTTATTTATAATTTCAAAAAATGTTGAAAATTTATTTTATTTTAGCAATTTTAAACACATGTAGGGATTTTACTTAATTCTTATATTAGGATGGATCGATTTTTAAGTTTGTTATTTATAAATTCAAAAAAAAAAAAAAAAAAAATGTTGGAAACGTATTTTATTTTTATTTTAGCAATTTTTAATACATTTAGGGATTTCCCTTAATTCGGATATTAGGATGGATCATTTTTTTATAATTTAAAAAATATTGGAAATTTAAATTTCATTAATTTTTAAAAAATACTGCTGAAATAATGTTTTCTTTTAGAACATTTTTATTTAGAGTCTCCAGCCATCCCAATCTCAAAAATACAATATCCATGTCTACCAAATATTCTCACAATTTTGCCCTTAAAACTTATAATCCATCTTGTCCTATCATTTCGGGAAAGGTGGGGGGAAAATATTTTTTTCATGGGAAAACAAAATAAAGAAAAAATATTTTTTAATTTTGATTGCATTTTTCTGTTTTGCATTTATTACAATTTTGCTAAAAACTAAATTAAAAAATAAACTTAGAAATTATAAAAAAAGCAAAATAAAAAAATTGGTTTTTTGTATAAAATATCACCTAATAAAAATTACGTATATCAAGTATCGATTTTTTTTTGTAGATTTTTTTTTTCAATTATTTTCTCAGTTTCATATATATGAATTATATATAAAATAACATAAAGACAACAATAAACAAATTATTTTTTCATATATATATGTAAAAAAAATTAAAATAAAAATAATTATTATTAGATGTATAGGAAGATTGAAGCATATTCTAAATTTCTAGGATTTTTTTTTTTTGAAAATAAAAAAAATAATAAAGTTTCTTTCAGTTTTTTTTAGAAAACAAAGCAAAGCTTTTATCGTATAATTTGTGTATAAAGTTTTTTGTTTTAGAATAATTTTAAAATTATTTTTTTTTCTTGCTCGTTATGTATAATTTTTTCTCTGGGGGGATTTTGTTTTTATCTGCTATTAAACATAAAGTACAACAACTATTGCATTTTTTTTTTGTAATTAGCAACTTAGTTTTAGGAAAAAAATTATTACTTTTTTTCGTTAAGATTTTGCATTATGATGATCATTGCCCATATAGCTTTTCAAATTTTGTAAGAGGGTGTTTTTGTGTGTGTGTGTTTAAGAGAGATAGAGAGTGTTAAACCTATTTGCTAAAAGTTTCATTGCAGGAGAGGTTTACCTTTTTACCTTGGCACCCCCGCTCCTGATAAACCTGGAGTTAAGTCCTATCCACTATTTTCTTGTTTTTAATAAAAAGAGCTTAAAGTTTTGTTGTTTGTTTTTAGTAACCATTTTAAGTTTGTATTTTAAGTACTTTAGTAAGTTTAAAAATTGGGGAAATGGGGTAAGGGGTCTAGGAAGGGTTTTTGGTTTTTAATTTTTCAAAAAAATTAAATTACTTTAAGTTTAGTTTGTATATTAATTAAGGTAACTCCAAAGCTTGGTAAGAGAAAAATACTCATTACCAAAAACCTGGGAGCTTTTCATTACGTATATCGTTGCTTGTTGAGAAAAAGTTTTTTTGGGAAAGAATTTGGGGAGGGGAGAATTTGGGTTAGAACTGAGGGATTCTCTTTGAAAAATCCTATTTAAGAGAAAAGTTATGTTTAGATTTGCTGGCATTTTGTAAATGTTAAACGTTAAAGTTATTAATAATTACTTTGTTTCTTTAAGTTTATATATTACACCGTGTTATATTTATAATAAATTATGTTTTGTTTCTTTTTAGTTTTTTTTTAAGAATATTCGTATACTTTTTATTTGAACTTAAGTTTTTTTTTGTGTTGGTTGTTAGTTAGTTTTGTAAAAGAATGGAAATGAAAACAAAACGAAAAAAACCTACAAAAATGGAAACCTAAAAATCAGGAAATATATTCCAAGTTTGGCAAGTTTGAAAAATAGGGACGTTTATGTTGAGTTGAGTTTTGTGTTTTTTTTTTTTTTAGAAAAAATCGTATACTTTTAGGTATTTTTTTTACGTATATCTCGGTTCATTGTTACTTGCTTTACTTTTGAGTTTGAAAAAATTTAAAGAAATCATAATTTTGGTTTCTACAATATGGAACTCTAATAGTCAGCCTCGTTTTTAATGCGATAACTGGCATAGGTTTGTTCCAGGGGTTTAAATTGTTGTTGGTGATCCTTGTGGAAATTTTTGAAAAAAGAAAATTAAAATTGAAAATCATGTATTTTTCGTAAAGTCTTAAAGAGTTGGGGATTTGGAAAGGGGGGAGTGGTAAATTTTTTTTTTTTTTTTTTTCTAAAAGAATATGGGGTTAGTAAAATTAGTAAAAAATATAATAAAAAATTGATAATAATATTGTGGGTAATATATATGGTTTTTAGTATTTTTTTAGGTTAGTTGTTTTGTTTTTTAAAAAAAGATATACATATATACTATATTGGCGAGCTATATGGGCCTCTTGCAAAAACGAAGTTTGTTTTCTTTTGTTCTGGTTTTTTTTTCATTAAAGTTATTTTTAAGTTTTCTTTTTGTAGTAGTTGCGGTACTTTTTACAAATGTTTGTTTTTTTTTTCTTTTCAAAAAATTATGATTGTTGTATATTACAATTTGTTTTGTATTATAAAATATTTAAAAACAAAAATATTTTTTTTTTTTTTAATTTTTAAAATGGCTTAAGATTTTTTTTATTATTGCCTTCAATTTCTTGCGGAAAAAATATTTTTGTTTTTTTTTTAGTTTACCACATTTTTGTTTATAAGAAAAAACACAAATATATGACTATTAGCATTGAGAGTAAGTAAGAAAAAATTGCAGCACGTATAGTTTTTTATTTAAAAAAACTGCAATAAATCATAAAACTTTGCACTTTTGTGTTTCTTTTTTTTTGCGATTCATGCTAAAGAAATATTCCCAGTTTTTTAATGCATGGATTTTTCTTTCATTTTTTTCTAAACAAAAAAAAACTATTACGCACTTTTTGCTCGAGTGTACAGCTTTGGGTGGTAGCAGCTTCCTTGGCTTTTGTTTGGAATTTTTGAGAGTGAGGGGGGGCTATACGTGTTGCAATCTTTTTCATATTTTGTATTTTTTTGTTGTTTCATAATTTGGCTTAGTAGTCATGATTTGGATAATTTCTTGAAAACGTGGTTTGTTATGCGTTTAAGGATTTTTTGGATTTTGTAGTTTGTTTTTATTTAAAATTTTTGGTAATTTACACAATTTGTATTTTTTTTTAATTTTTTGAAATTTCTTTTTTTTTCTTTTTTTGTTTTAATTATTAATTTATTTTAATCCCAGGGCATTGTGAGCACCCGCTTCGTTTTTGCAAGAAGGTCGTTATCGTACTACGAACATGGGTGCACCACCGCATTGTAGCTCGCCAATATAGGACCATGTGCTCCCGCGAAGGGGGTACTCACAACGTCTGGTGTACTAGCTCCATCGGTGTGTGATGTTGAATCGGCATTACTTCTTCCTTCACCATTAGCTGAACCCAATTCTGGTGGTTTGGTGGTGTCCCGTTCGTCAATTACTAAATCTATTGGCATTTTACCCTTTAGACATGAGATATATCGATGACAGAAATTATCGCATAATTCATGTACCTATATTTTTTTGGTAGGTTGGTGTGTGCGTTCGTGCGTGCGTGCGTTCGATTTTCATTTTGTTGTACGTTTACGAAGGGTATTGAATTGAATTTGATTTTGGTTGTTTTTTGGATTTATTCGGTTATTTGATCGCAGCAACAGCAGAGTTGAGTGCGCGCGTGTTGGAATATAGAGAGAGAAGAAAGAGAAAAAAGAAAAATAAAAGAACGGGAATTAGTTTTCTGAATTTGCAAAAACTTTTTTCTTTTTTTTAAATTTTATTTTGGTTTGGAGTTGGTTTTTTTCGGCTAGGGTTCATAATGGTGCAAAGTTGATTTTATTGCTTTAACATATATGAATTAACTAGGGGAAAATTTCCAAAATTATGAAAATATAAAAATTGTTGTTTTTTTAATTAATATAAAAATATATATAAATTTGTAACAAAAATTATTCGTGTTTTTTTCAGATTTTTTTGATTTCAATTTTTATATTTGAAAACACTTAAATTACACGAGTAATTAATGTTTTATATAGGAGCTTAAAAGCTAATTTTTTTATTATATAAAATATATTTATTTAGAAAAATGCCTTAAATTTTTATTTATAAAAATATTTTCAATGTTAAAAAAATTAAAAAATTTTCAGATATATTGTCAATATTTTTAAATAATTTTTAAATCCTTTTATAAATGTATGTTGATTTTGTGTTATATAAAAAAAGAGTTTTATATAAAAACATAAATATTAAATATAATTGTTATAGAATTGAAATATTTATCATAAATTGAAAGAGTTTTCAAAAATATATTTTTTTTGCAATATTTTCAATAAATTAAAAAAATGTTTTAACATTTTCCACAATATTTTCAATTGTTTTAAATAATTTTAATTTTTAAATTTTTATTAAATTTTTAAATTTTTATTAAAATATGAAAAACATATTTTTCAATATTTCAAATATTTTAAATAATAACAATATAAAAAAAATGAAAATGAAATATAATTAATTTAATAAACAATTTGATTAATTTTTTTAATTGTTATATCATTGATTAAAAAAAGAAAAATAATAAATAAATAAATATTTATAAAAATATATTTTTAGCATTGAAAATATTGTAATTTTGCAAAATTTAATTTTTATTTAAACGCCAAAAATATTTGATTTTTTTTTTTGTTTTTTCCTATACCTTCCAGGATCTGCCTGCCTTAAAAACCTCATCAAGCTTCTGATAGCTATGCAAATTGGAATTTGCGTATATATTGCGTTCTTGCTTTCATTTGGCGTCACAAAAAATGGCGCATTGTCCCCCCTCGGCCTAACCTATACATGTAGAGCCTCACACACATGTTAAGGATAGATGACCAAAAAGCCGGCCGGTTTGTTATTTTTTTATTTTATTTGACAATGGCTGGCTGGAATAGAATGCAAAAATTTGCCATAAATATGCAGACTGGCAAAGGAGAAGGAGGATGATGACGACGAAGACTGCGACCATAATGATGATAGGCCTGGGCAAGACTCATATGCATATTGGACGCCTAAAGGCATCATCTCTCACTCTCATTTTGAAGGTTTTAGAAAAAGGTAGCCATGGCTAGCCATCCAACCAACCATTTCAAAACACATGCCACGCTGCTTGGTATGCTAAATATATTTTCTATAACAAAAGAAAATAAAAACGAAATGAAGGCAAAAAGCCTATGCCAACAGGCATTGCTTAAACTTTAAGTCGAACAGAGTTGCATTTGATAAAGTTGCGATGCGTTGCGTTGCGCGTTGCATGGCTCTTCTCCGATAACATTTGAGAGATAATGAAATAATGTATCGAGCTTGGGTGTAAAAGGGTTTTACTTGTAAAAGCAATTTCAAGAATATACAAGCCAAGGGATGGATGGCTGCAGACGGCAGGGGGAGATCAGCTAAAATGTTTAAGCTTTTAAAATGATATCATGTCTGGTTGTTGATGAGTTTCGCTTCTCTGTTCTTTTTTTTTTTTTTGGTGAATTTAAAGGAGCAGCAGACATCCGTTTGATATGCAAATGCCTTTTTTTACTCTTCTTTGTTGTATTTCCATTTGCTGTTGTTGCTGTTGTTTTTGTAATGCGTTTTAGCCTGATACTGCAGCTTTTGTATTGTTATTGTTTCGTTTTTGTTATCGTGCTCAAAAATTTTTGTGTCACTGGTAAAAATACAATATTTTGTTCGTTTTTTTTTTTTTATTTTTGGTAAGAGATCTCAAATGTATGGGTGACTGACTGACTGAGCAGTGAGTGAGTGTCTTGTGTGAACTTGTTAAACTGGTTTTGTGGCCAAGTTGGATGGCATTCATTGTGGCTGGTTTGCGCTTGCGCACAGCCGTTTTTTTTTTCCAATGTTATTCAGGCTACATCCAGCTGACCAGTTGTCGTCATCATCATCATCATCCCATTCGAAGTCGAGTAAGTTAAGAGCTATTTGTAGCTGCAATACGTCCTTTACTCCCAGGAAAAGAGACTCCACAGTCCACCCAACTCACCCCCTCATACCTAGCCCAGGTTTGCGGTCAATGTTATTGTCAACGAAAGAATAACAACAACAATAGCTAAGGAAAGGAACTTTTGGTTTTAACTGTTATTTTTTGGATGGTGAAAATACTGGTTTCCAATTTTTTGGTCAGACAAAAATAGCTAACCCCCCTTCCAAAAAAAAAGTAAACATGTGGAGAGTGGAGAAAAAAAAAAGAAAGTTTTTCCTTGGACTTTGGAGCCTCCACAACAATGCCATGATAAATTGCCCAAGCAGAGAACATGAATTTTATAGCCTTATTTTGCTAATTATTAATTTTATGATTTGTTGTGGTCCTGGCCTGCAGATGTTGGGACCTTTCGTATTCCCTACATGTAGAATGGACCAACATTTCCTCTGTTTTGTTGTTGTTCTTGCTATTGTATAGTTATGCATTTTATAAATTGTTATGTTCAGTTTATGGCTGTTATTGTGTGTGAAGATGGAACATTGTCCATTGTCCAATGAAAGGAGCAGGAGTTAGGAGCCAGAAGTCATCTGGAATTGTCATCTTTATACATACGTACATACAATAAATACCAGCCCCAAGGAGTCGTGGTAGTCCAGCCACAAGACTTGAGTCTCTTATGCTCATTACAATGCTAATGATCATCACTGGGACTCACTCACTCACTCTCCAAACTGCAAGCTGGCCTGTTTGGCAGTCTGTTGTTGTCATGCTGCTGCTGGTTGTGGCTGATGCATTGTTAATGATAATTTTGATTAATTTGTCAAGTGTTGAATTTGACATGTTAAGCGAGCAAAATGCTGACTTCAAAACTGGTGTATTGTCCAGTCAAAAGCATAACTATACCCATGTGTGTGTCCGCTGCTCTTGGAATGAGTCAAGGCGGAGGAGGAGGTGGTGGTGCTGGTGTTTGCAATTGCAGGCGGCAGCTACACGACCAAAAACAACTAAAACTGGGCATAACTGAATGTTTGACTCATCATCGACATTGTCAAGCCATGGCATGGCATCAGCGGCCATGATGCTGCGAATGCTGAAGCAAGAAGTCTCCTTTACACAATCTCTTTGCCACATCATAAGAAATACATGCATCAGACAGCCAGCCAGCCAGCAAGCTAGTCCGTCAGTCAGTCACTCACTCAATCAGACAAACAGACAGACAAAACAATTCTATATGAATACGTGAAATTTATGTATGTTTTCTTTCCTTTACTGTAAAGAGCAGATAAAGCAACAGCAACAACAACCGAAGTGAAATTCCTTTAATTGCCATCATCATCATCGCGATGATCGTCATTGTGTGTCCGTTGTAGTTGTCGTCTTCTGTTTGGATGTTGTTCTTGCTGTTTTTGTATTTGGGTGGCATGTCAACTATTTGCAGGCACAAAATTATGTTGGCCATGTTTGTGTGATAAGTTAATAAAACATAAAGCAGAATTATGACATAAATTACACGAAATATTTCACAACAACAGCAGCAACAACACATAAGGATTCCCAAACACCAGCAGACAACAACAACAAGAAGAAAACCCCAACAACTAATTGAGAAATTAATAAAACGCCACGTAAAGATTTCCCGAAGGTAATCGCTTAGTTCGAGCCACAGACATGGTGATAATTGAAAGATATGGGCAAAAGGAAAGAGAAAAATATAAAAAAAGCTTTTAAGATTAAACAAAGCTTGTATTCCTCTGGAAACCATTATAAAAAGCTTTGAAGTTTTTAAAATTAAATAAAGCTTTTATACCTCTGAAACCCATTTTTAATCCAAGATTAACAGATTTTAAATTGAAGCTTTTAAAATTAAACAAAGCTTGTATACCTCTGGAACAAATTATAAAAAGATTTGAGGTTTTTAAAATTAAATAAAGCTTGTATATCTCTGGAACCCATTTTTTAATCTAAGATTAACAGAATTTTAATTTGAAGCTATCTTCTCAAAACTTTGTTAAATAGAACCTCGAAAGGTTTGATTAAAATCTAGGCTATCAGAAAATGAGGAACTTAACTTTTAAATCCTATGCCATAATTCCTCAACACAGTTGAAAGTTAATTAGGACTCGAAAGCTTAGAAAAGAATCCAGTTTCTCAAAAAAAAAAAAAATAATAATAAAACGAAAGCTCAGAGAACACAAAACAAAGCTTTAAAGTCCTAATTAGAAAAAATTCAATTACGAAGATTTCAAAGTGAAAATCTTTAGAATTTTTCCAAAGAGCTTTCTTGTAAAGCTTAAAAGCTTTGAAACAAAACTCGATTTTTTGGAATTGTTAACAAAAATTTTACTGGAAAGAAAGTTTGAAACCAATTTCAGATTCTCTAATCCTATCCATTTCCAATTTCTCAGAAGCTTTCACTGCACCGCTTCTTCCTGTTACTTTGCCACATAGAAGAAAACATAAATATAAATTTATCTTCTTCTTCTTGATGTTTTTGCAGCTGTTTCTCTCTCTTGTTTCATTTTTTTTCAGCGATTTCCTTTTGGCTGATAAAAATCAAATTTACACACATTCAAGCAATTTTCCAACAAGCCTTAATGCAAATTTGTTTAGCTGTGTTTTTTTTCTGTTTCTGTTTCAATTTTATTCTCATACTTAAAGCATCCGTTCCCCATAATGAATGAATGAATAGTTGTTGTTGTTTTTATTTTTTGTCTTTTTAAAAGCAAATTAAATTAAATGCATTGACTCTGGATCCCCAAGAACCCCTCTGCTTATTTACATTATACGCTTGGTGGTGTTGTTTTTGTTTGCAATAGACAGCCAGTAGTAGGCACCATTTGGTCTCTAGACAATAACTAAAAATGGTATGGTATGGTGGTGCTCCACATTGTGTCTCGGTTGTTTGTGCACCGGAGGCAACAATGTAAATCTCAACTCAGATTAAATCTAATATGGAATGTATTTTTTCTCCAAAACAACAAAAATATTTAATTTGTTGTTGACCTTATAAAGATGAAGTGTTTCAAATTGGAATCCAAAAAAAAAAATTAATATTGTTTCAAATTTGGTAACCGGTTACCAAACTTGAAAAAAATTTACATAATTACTTATTTAGGTAAATTAAGGAAATTTTTTTTTTATTTCTTAAACATTAAGCCAAGCTTAACTAAACCCCCTAAAATAAAATTCCACCATTGTTTTAAATAGAAAAAAAAAAATACCAAAAACAAGAACTTGGTTCCAAGTTCCTTTATGCTTGGTTTCATTTGGTTTAATTAATTTTTTTTTTTTTGGTGGTGAATTGTTTTCCTTTTGAGAAAGTCTAAGCTAGGTTTATTAAGCGTAACGATTTTTCACTACACTAAAACTTGGTTAATTTGTATAGTTAATTGCTTTTTTATGTGGTGTTTCCTTTTCGAAATAAATTTAGAGATGTTTTTAAATAATATAAAATAAAAAACTTGGTGGTCAAGGTGCTAAAGTGGCCATTAAAATGGGGGAGGATGTGTCAAAGTTGGGGCAAAAAAAGTAATTTTAAAACTAATTAATTAAGGAAACATAAAATAAACGGCTGAGAAAATTCCCAAAAATAAATCTAAAGGTAATTACAAAACCAAGTGACAGGTGAGGGATTAAAAACAAAAATATTAAGTTGGCTGCAAATGAAGGTTGGGAATTGAAAACAAATGAAACGTAGGTGGCGCCCAAGCACAAAAATTAATTTTTTCAGAGAAGATCCTAAGAAGATCTAGAAATGGGCATATGCTTTATAAAAAATGAGTTGATTGGATCCCAGAACTAAAAATTAAAATATAAAATTGAATGCTAAAAAGAAATTGTAAGGGAAAAAATGGAAACATAGGTGGCGCCCAAGCAAAAAAAAATATTTCTTTCTGAAAATACCTTAAGAAGTTGGGAAAAAGGCTTTTCAGATAAATGGGGTATCTTGGGTCCCAAATTTATTTTTAATATGAATAAAGAAACAGCAATTCAAGAAGGTATTAAATGTGCAATGGATGACATGTAGGTGGCGCCCAAAACCGTAAATGAATTGCAAGACATTTATGGGGGGTTTTTAGTGGGAAAGAAATTTGAAAAAACAGTGATTGAAAAAGTTATTGAATAAATGTCTGTACATAAATGACATGTAGGTGGCGCTCAAACTATAGACGAATTACTGCATTTTTATAGGAGGATTTTTATGGGCAAAGATGGGAAAGAAATGGAATACTTTTGGAAGATATTTAACTCATTGGATGTTCACGCTATTTTGTCCTCACAAAGGGAAGCCTGTATAGAATAATATTCAACTGAATAAATATCATATTTTTTTTAAAAAAAAATTATTAAAAATTAAAATATTTTTTTTATTTTATATTTAAATTTCCTTTGCATTAAGGCATTAGTTTTGAAAGGAAAATTGCTTGTTTTTTTTAATATTTAAGGCATTTTTCTTAATAAATATATATTTTTCAAATAATTTTAAATCATTTGTTCAATACTTACTTTTTCTAATTCTAAAAGGTGAAACCGAAGTACTTGTATTGCTTGCACCATCTGTAAGAGAAAAAAAAACACACACAATTAATTCACAAAATTCCAATCAAATTGCAAACAAACTTCACTTTAAAATTTTACAATAACCTTGACCCTCAATGTGTTTATTTTGCTTTTTTTTACACTCCTGTAAAAAACCTGTTGCCTTTATAATTAACATATTACAAAAATCTTTTAAGCATTTTTTTATGGGGGGAAAAATGTTCAAAAAATTATTAGACAGTTTTATGAGCCTATTTAGCACCAAACCTCAAATAATAAACCTCAGGACATTTTTATGTTTAAAAAATAAAAAAATGAAACAACAAATGACAACTACATTTCTTCCATACAAATAATGTACAAATGAAGCAAGCCATCATTGAGGAATGAAAATATGGTAAATGGTTTCAAAAGTCATAAAGTTTTGTTGGTTTGTTTCCCTTAAGACCCAGCCATAACTAAGAGTGTCATTAAAAAAATTGTTTACAAATCCCCGGGATGACACTTAAAAACCGATGTTTTCTTCTTTTTTCCTGTCAGATTTCCGAGTTTTATTGCCAAGAATCCGCCGGCTTAGATGGCAGCAGACCCACAAGGAGGCATACGAAAATATTAAGTATGTGTTACTAAATTGTTGTTTGAGGCATTTAAATAAGTGTGTATAGAAGACAACAACATCATAACATTTTTATACATATCATAAAAATGAGGAGCAACAAAAACGGCATATGGACAAACCGATAGACAGACAAATGGACAACCAAACACAACTAAATTACCCAACAACAGTAACATACAGCAGCAGCAACAACAGCAACATTGCACTGCACATGATGTTTTTACGACAACAAAATGATTTATGAGTTAAAAGTACTTGTTATAAAAAAAGCGCAGGCGCAACGCATACCACAGCCAGCCAGACAACCAAGCGGCAGGGAGACGTAGAGAGAGAAATAGAAGGAAGTAATGGCATGGCTATGATTTTGTTAGACCACTAAGCAATGATTTGCCATGGTTTGGCTTCAACTAAACTACCACTACCTCTTACTTGGGACTAACTGCAAATATGTTTTAATGTTCATACACTTGCTACAATTTAATGCATGTTCTTGGCCTTTAAATTGGTCATAAACTAATAATAATAAGCCATAAATGGCTCTCACTCTCTAGAAAAAATTATGATGTAAAGCCAAAGAGAGCCAAAGACGTTATAGGGTTCTTTGACAGATATTTGAAATTGTTTTTATGGTTTGTTTACCATTCGAAAAGGAACACCAACAACATGTTGTTGTTAAAGCAAAAATAGCAAAAAATTAAATAACACCATAATTTTATTTTAATTAAAGAAAGAGAAATTTGCATTTTACTCCTACTCGTCTGGCCTCACTCTCTCTCTCTCCTCTAACGCTGTCTATAACTGGTCATGTTAATAATAATGTATCTAAAAACATCTTCCCTTATAAGTCGTACATCCATCTTAGAAAGCAAAATTTTGTTGATAATATTATTGTTGTTGTTATTGCTTTTTTTAAGATGATGATAATGATAATAATGATGATACCGATGACGTTAATAATGGCAACAATCTTGTTATATTATTTCATTTTAATGAATTTAAATCTTTTTTATATTCTTGTTTAACATTTTAGTGGTGTTTGTTGTTGTTATTGTTATTTGTTTTTTTGCAATTTTTATACACATTTGTATGTGGGCTGCTGCTTTAAGCATTTGAAAAAAATAACACATATTTAATTTCAAAATCTTTTAAATGACATTGAACTTGTTGCTTGCTGCTGTTAAGCTTTGAAGTCGTTCTCTCTTTCTCTCAAAGCTGGTTTTTCTTTCTTGTCACATAGAATACTGTATATAAAAATGTAGAATATATGCTGGCGGGTTTTTGTTGTTGTTGTGAATGATGATGATGCACCCCCCATATATACCACATATACAGTGGGGACTTGATTTTGAAAAAAAATATGACGTTTTAATCGAAAATTATTTTTTTAAAGCTATTAAGGGGAATTATTGGGAAAAATATTTTTTTCTAAATTAATTTGTTTTTGTTTGATAAGAGAACAAAATGAATAGAAAAATTTCTTTGAGTAAATGTTTGAAGAATTTTGAATATAAATTGCTTTTATTTGGATATCAATTGAAAAATTTTGACCAGGTGGCGGCCAAGCAGAAACTAAAATTTAATTTTCCCGCAATTGTTAAATATGTTTTTAAATGATTTTTTTTAATCTAAAATTATTACTTTTTAATATCTTTGGATTTTTTTTTTTTTTCTATATTATAACACAAAAATTAAATATAATTTTTAATATAATTATATTGTTATATTTATATTTTTTATTTATTTTTTATTTTTATTATTATTAGTATAATTATTGTTATTATTTTTATTATTAGTATTATTATTTTAATTATTTTTTTATCATTAGTGTAATAATTTTTATATTTATTAATTTATTTTTATTAATTTATTTTTTTTTCTCCAACAAATTCCCAAAAATCCAGACCCCACTGTATTCTCATTCTCAATCCCCAATATTTCTTCCATCACTTGTGCCGTTTTTTTCTGCCTGTGTGTGACAAATTTAGTTTAATTTTTTTATATTAAATTTAATTGAATTAAATTGTTTGAAATAAAAATGGCTGTGATTTGTACAATTTTCGCCTAACACACACTCACATTTTTCAAAAATTGTTTTTGGGTCAAGGTGTATTGAATTTATAAAAAAAATAACAAATTATATATTGCATATATTGTTTACTTACCAGTGAATCTACTTCGGGATCTGCTGTGTAGTAGGGTTTTTGTGATCTGATCTGTAAGGAGAAGAAAAAAAAAACGAAAATTAGAATTGAACGAAAATTAGAAAAAACTACAGATTGCTTACTATTTTTAGTTTTTAGGGACCACCCACAACAATTGTTTTACAAGGAAATAACACTAAACTTGGATTTCAAGGATTTACAGAGAAAAAAAATAAATACCAAAACTAGATGATGATGATGAGGTTGAGGTTACTGGTGATCCAGAAACCAAACTACCTGTTCCCAAAAACACCATGACTAATTCCTTTAGTGTAAACAAACCAAAAACAAGACCCTATTTCTTTGAGTGTTTGTGTGTATGTGTTCCCAAGGATTAATTGTGGCGATATGCTAAGGCCATAATAACAAAAAAATTCAGGCGAAATCCCTGTGTCTAGAGATAAGCATGCGACTCAATGTCTCCTGGTTGTTTTTTTGAAACAGAATGGCATTTTAACATATTTCCCCTGAAATGAGTGAGTGACTGACAGACAGCCGGACTGACTCAGTGACAGAGTGATGATGTCGTCTCCTCAATGCCTAATACACTTGCTGTCATAAAACCAACAATAAACCCCCCGTATATGTGTAGAAATATAACAAAACAAATGATGTTCCCGGCTGTGACTATGTCGAGCAGTTTGTGACATGCAAAAAGATAGACCCACCGAAAATGTGATGACGACGACGACGGCGACAATAGTAAAGCCACACACTTAGATAAAAATCACCAAGGCAATAAATAGATAAAATGCCACCTAGTAGTAGTTGTAGTAGTAATAGTTGAACTACAAAAACAAAACGGGGAAAAAAAGAACACCCAAAACGCCGCAGAGCCCAAACAAAGCCACCACAAGAATCACAGACAACAAAGTAGTATTTTGTAGTGTTTTCGCCAAAATAACAATAACAATAATAACAACAAGACCACAATGCCAGCTACAACACCATCACCAGACCAGCAGCACCAGTGAAAGAATCCACAACTGCAAAAACATATGTGTGAGACTAATGATGGCCATAAATCATTAAAGGTGTATTCCACTAATATTATTGTTTATATCTGTTGGGCAAAACACAACAAAACCCCCAAGCAAGGCACTGTGCAATGCCAAAGCTCCACAACAACAACAAAAACAAAAAATACAAAAGTAAAAACCGCCAATATTACAAACTATAGCATATAGACAAAACCAAAAGTTATACACGTTTATTGTGATTATTGTTATTATTTATTTTTTGCCTGTTCTCCCTCCCTCCCTCTCTCTCTCACACACAATAACAATGTAAGCAGCAATAGATTTTTGTATATTGAACTGAATACGATTTTGAAAAAATTGAAAAAAAAATTATTAAAGAAGATGAGGCAACAACATCAATCATTGCCTGCTTCATTCTCCCTGGAAAGCAAGAAAACTGAAAGCACTTATGTGGCCAGACGACCGCTGGAAAAGAGAGTCTTTGTTTTGGTTCGTTTCTTGTTTTACCAAATTGCAGTCCAAAAGGAGAACGAATGGCAACCAGGCGGGCAGCCAACCAGCCAGCCAGTTAGCCATTGTGAGTAAACCATATTTGATTATAGGTTAGGAGTTAAAAACGAAAAAAACAACACAAAATAACCCCTTTAACCATAACAATTATAATAATATGGTAACGAACAACATAAATGCAAATTCTAGGGGCCAAAGACGTACATATATTGCCTTCTCTTTCTAACATTACTTGGAGTATAAGAAACAGAGAAGAAAAAAACGTTATTGGAATTAAATTAGACATTGGAAAAGAAAATGGATTCCCCATAGGGGCCCACAGGGAAATGAATTTAGAAATAAGAAATAATGACGTATGAAGGGCAGGAAACGTTTGAAAATAAGTTCAAATTCCAAAGGAAAGAAAATAAAAATATGAGATATTTTTTATTATTTTTTTAAATCGTGAAGGACATAAAAATGTTATTTTTTTATGTTTTTTTTTTTTTTTAAGAAATAATGGACCTAAGGTGAAAAGTGTAATTTTCTGAAAATTTAATTTTGAATTTAATTTTTTGCCAAAACAAAAAAATGGAAATTTCTTCCTATTTTTATAGTTTTTTTTTTTTTTTTTTTTTTTTTTTTTTTTGTGAAAATTCCCATTTATTGAATTTTATATATTTTTTTCTCTGAATTCCATTCAACCAACATTGAATAAAACTTTAATTAATTCTTTTAATCATTATTTTTTTTTCCTGAATTCTTTATTATTTTCATTTATTTTTTTTTATTTCTGCCAAATCAGTTTCATGTTTCCCCCCATATATACAACGGCAACAACACCACGATTAACTTAAGTATTTCATTTCTCGTTGTTGTTGTTGTCGTTGTTGGTATTTTCTTTTGCTCCTTTTGAGGTTTTTAAAAATACATAAATCATTTTAACAAGTAAATTCACAGCATGAGACGTTTGTGCCACAAAAATCTTGTCGGCAATGTTATTGCTTTGCTCTATAAATAAATTACACATGGAATGGAAGAGCATAGCGAGAGAGAGCGAGCGAAAAAAAATCACTTGAAATTGTTGGATGATTAGAAATTTGTTTGGTTTGAAAATGGAGAAAAAAAAGAAAATCCCGAAAAGTTAAAAAAATGAACAAAATAGGGGAGGTATGACAAATAAGGGAATGGGCAACATGTTGCAAAAGAAAATGTTGCTGAATATTTTTAAGACATTTTTTTGAATGTTAGTATATTTAAATATTTTCATGAGCTTAAAAATACTCAAACTGGAAACATGTTGCCCGGAGGGGAAAATGTTGATAAACATTTAACGTTACAAATTTATAAAAATTTAATGAATTAAATTTGAACTTTATTTATAAAATTAAATAAACGGAATGGAAATATCGTAAAGAAACTGGAAAATACTTAAATTGGCAAGATGTTGTTGTAAAATATTAAAATAAAGGCAACATGTTACCAAAGAAATTGCAAAATATTTGATTTGGCAATATATTGCTTTGGAAGAAAATGTTGATAAACATTTTGCGTTGCATTTGTTTTTTTTTTTTTGATAATTTTTTATTTGTTTTTTTTTTTTTTTAATAATTAGAAATGCTTTGAAATATAAAGGCAACATGTTACAAAATAAATTGCAAAATAGTTGAACCGGCAACATGTTGCTATACAAGAATATAACTAAATATTTGTTTATTTTGAATAAAAAAAATTATTTTTGTTTTTCATAAGAAAACTTTGAAAAATTAAGTCAACATGTTGTCATACTAAAAATTTTCTTGTTTGCGAAAGAAATATTCGTATTTGTTTTTAAAAAATTAAGAAAGCTTTAAAACATAGAGGCAACATGTCAAAGTGAAAATGTTGCTATACATTTTTTTATTATTTTAAAATACACCTTTTATAATATTGAGTTGAAATGAAGCTCATTAACTGTTCCAATTTTTAAAAATATATGTATTTCTTTTCTCAGAAATATTTAGAAACAAATTTTCCAGCAACATGTTGCCAAACTTAAATGGCGTTTTTTCTCTCCTTTATTTATTTATTTATTTTTTTTTTTTTGGGGAAAACTATAATCTCTTATCTTATCTTCTGCTTAACATTGTTGATTTGTCTATTTTGTTATTTATTATAAGCGTTGCCCTACTACCGGATGTTTAAGGTACACGAGTAGTTTTCGTTTTTTTTTTTTATCGAAAAATCCCTTTATAAATATTTAAGCAAGTATTTCATTCATTTTAGTTGAATTTTGGGTTTTTTCATGATTATCAATGCTGGCTGGTGACAGTGAAAGTAGTCATATATTCTGTGGCAAGAGATCTTCTACAAATAACTATAACTACCCGAAATCTCTGTTGTTAATAAATATTGACACTTTGCAGCAACAATTCATGGGAGGTTACCCAGTTTGAGTTTTTGTTTGTTTGGTTACTCAAAAATTATCATTTTTTTTTTTCAAAAAATATGAACACACAATTTTATGGTAGCTAATGTTTAACTAATACCCGTGTTTGGTTATTTTGTTGTCTACTGTCTAGTGTCGCTGTCGTCTGTAAAAATAAAAATTTGTAGTGAAGGTGGTAGATAGGTAGCAGCAATTGCTTCAAGTGTTGTAAAGATAATGAAGCAAAGCAAATAAAATGCCACTCACAATAACGTATAACACATGTTTTGGCCCGACTCGACATACAACAACAGCAACAACAATCCATAACGCAATGCTTTAAATAAATATTACAACAAGAAATTATTACAATTATTAGGTTTTGGAATTGTGGCGTTTTTGTTGTGTCTGGAGCAACATTGCAGCTCCAAATGTTGGCTAGCACCAACCAACAACACCATCATGATGATGATCATTATCATCGCCAGTACACGTACCCTTTGCCAGCTAGATATTTTAAGGCGCACCACTTGTTATCTTTATGATTTTGATATTAGTTTTGTTGTTATTGTTAACATAGGCCTAAACGGCTGAGGTTTGTTTGTGAGGGGAGAGAGATGACGAACGCTATGCTGCTCTAGGTGACCATAAACCACCAGGGCCATAAACATGTAATCATGATGATGATGATCATACCCTGCAGTTTGAAACTTTACACTTAACAAAAAAATGTGTTACCAAAAACATTTTCACTTTTTTTGAATATTTTTTGGGGGTTTGGAAGATAACATTTTTGGGATGGTGTGCGAGTGTGTGTGTTTTGCTCTAGTTAACCAAACAATCAAGGTAATCTCTTTTAGATTTCTTAGATTTGTTTTTTATTTTCGTTTTGTGTAATCAAATATCTTTTACTGTACACAGAGAAAGATAAACAGCAAAGATAATAGCCGGCTATTGGGAAAGAATATAGAATAAAGAACTGCAGAGGCGCCAGTTAGGCGACAAAATCTTTAGCTACTTCTCCAAAGGGGTGTTCTTGTTTTGTGGAACGAAACAAAAAAAAAAAACATAAAAGAATTCTAGTAGCAGTTCGCATTCTTTGATTTTGAAACAAATTTCAAATATCAAATCTTATC